TTAAAAAAAATTAAAAATTTAAAAAAAAGAAAATATCTAAATAAATTCAATTTTAAAAAAGACTAAAAAAAAGATCCTTGATGCAAATCAGGACATACTAGTTTCAATTGTGCCTAGCAAAAGAACTATTGAGAGCCTAAATTATATCCTTTTCAATGCCCCTTCAAAATAATACATCTCAAGAGATTATATTTTAGGCTGCATTTCCCCTTTATTGATTAGTCTCACCATACTTCTACCCAGATGTATGTTTAAGATCTTAGAATTTTTATCTCTGGCATTAGACTTCTCTTAGCTTCAGAATCAAATAACCACTGTCAGCTGGACATTCTTGTTCAAGTCAATTAGAAAAAGATCAATTTCCCAAAAGAAAATGAGTGGAGAGAGTCAAGAATGCAGAAAACAGTTGAAATGGCTAATAAATTCATGGAAAATGCTGATATCAGAAATAAAAGCAATACAACTTAAAACAAAAAGCCAAAACTATCTCCCCCCAACTAAACTGATTACATTTTAAAGAAAATTATTACATCTGTGATGGTAGGAGGATATAGAAATCTCACATATAGCTGGTAGGAATATAATATGTGAGAGGTGGAATACACATACTGTAGACAATGGTGGAGAAACTGAGGTATGGTTGTTACAGAAAATTATAACAAGCTTGTTATAGTTGGGATGTTACAGCAAACATTTATTCTGGTCTTCTGGTCTCTTGAGCTGTAGTTTGCAGTTCCCTGGCAAAGGGAGGACTTAAATACACATTAAAAAAAAAAAGTGGGGCTCGTCCATGCTCAAGTCTGCTTTTTACAAATGAGGTCTTCTGTTAATGCAGTCAGTTCCGGTTGGTTGAAAGTTTGCAAAGTGGTAAGTGGTTGGATTTTAATACTGGCCAGGCTTTGGCTTGCTGTTGTGGTTTCATTTTCTTCTCAGTGATGGACATATCTGAGCAGGCCTGAACTTGTAAGTGTGCCTGGACATGCCTGGGACCTGCCCCTCAACAGCCTACTGATTCTCTTTGGTTTTTATATAAACTCCAGTGGTTCCATTTTTGCCTTATAAAAACATTTTTTATCAAAAAAATGGCCAGGCAGTATAAAACCAGAACTCTGACCCACGACCTGCAGCAACTGGTCCAGGAAACCAAGTCCTTATCTACACGAAACAGTCTGCGATGTCAGCATGCTATAAGTCAGACTTGTAGGAAGTTACGCTGCTATCACTAATAACAATCCAAACACCTGAACAATAATCTCTATAACAACCAGCTCAAAGTGGCCAGCACTTGAGTAATATACTGATGGCTTCTCCAATTTTTGTCCCTGCTCCGTACTTAGGACCAATGTGAGAAAGCTAAATATGCACCTCTAACCAATCACATATGATACCCCTTCTGGTTACCCCACCTTCAACTTCCCCATGCTAACAGCCTCTAGTTAATATATACATGAAGCTTTCCCTTATTTCCTGCTATAAGTTTTCCCATTCCTCTTTCCTTGAGTCTTGCAAAACATAAGTGATGGTGACTGTCTTGCTGGAACAGATTCTGAATAAACAAACTTTGACATTTCTCTTTGGGTTGGTTTTCATTTATTTCTACAATTGATACCAACTTTCATTAGCGCAACTAACAAAACTGTACTGGGATGCTAATTAGATTTACTCAAACTATGCAATAGAAAAGAATTGATTATATAGATTAATATATTTTCATAGAATGCAATATTAATGTTTGTTATTAAGTCTTATTTTGGAATAGCATTTTATAATATTATTGGGAAAAGATCTTGAAATAAGATTAAGTGCAAAAAGCAGATAACAAAACTTGATTATATGGTTTTTTAAAGAGATTTATTTATTTATGTATACAAGAGCTGGGGTGCAGAAGAGTATGAAGATTCATCAGAGACAGAGTGGGGAGCAGAACTGGTGGATCCAATGAAATACACTGCTGAGGGGAGCAGTGGGGGAGACAGGAGAGGTCTGTTGGGCCATGTGGGTCAGCTCTCTGGCTGGGAATTGAATTCATGCTGCAGTGGCTGAGGATTGCTCCATAGTGCTGAGGCTTAAGCCACCAGGGAGGCCCAATTATATGATTTTTGTTTAATAACTTTAAATAAACACAGAAAAAGAGAAGGAAGAGAGGGAGAGAGAATTAGCAAGAGAAGAAATTATTCAATGATAAAGATTTGGCTGGAGAAATTACAAATAGCTCTTTAATTTTATCATAAATATGCATTATTTTTATAATTAGAAAAATATCCTTTAAAAAATTTAATGTGATTGATTAAGGAACCTTCCAATAAACTTTATCTTAAAATGACATCTGGAATATTAGGAGGTTTCAGTAGGCATAGGTTTTCAAAAACTAAACTAAAAATAAGCTGAAGCTTTCCAAAATTATTAAAGATAATGTAAATATTATTTTAGCTATTTGATAATGTAAATATTATTTTAGCTATATTAATTAAGGGAAGGGTAAGAATATTTCTTGGAACCAGTAGTAGTACAATGTGATACAACTTTCTTGTCGCAGGTTGTCAAGGAAGACCTTCAGACTGAAAAAGGTAGCAATCTAAGATGGAATGGAAGATAAAGATTGGGACAGAATGTATAAAACACCAGCTAAGAGAAAAGATATAAGGGTGAATTTTATCTCAGTTTTCACTTTGCTGATTTCAATATTTATTAAATTTAGAAAAGCTCTTTTATAATGTAAACTACTGAAACCAGTCATATTGTTTAAACAATGAAATAGATTGATATTATGATAAAATAATTTTATTATGATAAAATATTGAGCTAATTAACTATTTCAGACTCATACAACAAACTTGTGATACACTTCCTTAAAACCAGTGAACCACTCTACAAATACAAAGTTTTTTAATGGAAAAGAGTCAACTTCTTATTTAGTTTGAAATCCTTTCATGGTCCAATAGTCTGAGAATGAGAAGTTAACTCCATAGCTTGATGGTAACGGAGGTGAACTGATGATGAGCAAGAAACACATGATTTTTCCAAAGAATGAAAGACTGTTAGGCTGAACACTGCTAAACTTCAATGTACATAGGTATTGCCTAGTAATATTATTAAAATCCAGCTCTGATCCTAAACTCTTCATTTCAACAACCCCCCAAGTGATATTGATCCTATTTGTCTGAGGCCCACACTTTGAGTAACAGGAAGCTAGAGGACATCCCAAACAAGAAAACCCAAAACTCTCATTTCACATGAGAAAACTTGGGACCCCAAATGTACATGTGAATTTCACACTGTCCACAGGCACACTGTGCACCTATTAGCCTGTAGTGGGCTATTTCCTCTAATTTATCTTTCTGTATCTGTGTATCTTCACTTTCCAGTCTGTTCACAGGAAATAACAATAGATCTAATGTTCATCATATGTATGTATGTAACATTAGTTTGCAATAATGTATCAGTCCCAAGAGTATCATATTTTATTATAGTCAAGTGAGAACATTGAATGAGGGAAAAAAAAAAATGGAGAGTTGAGAATCTCAGATACTGAGCAAACAGAGGAGAATTTTAGTGACATTTGACTGTATTTTTGATTAGGTCCATTAATGATATATGGGTGGGTCTATTTCATAATGGAAAAAAGAAAAATTAGTTTATGAAGAAATTCAGAAAATTAGAGGGGCTAGTCATTTCTTTTACTGGTAGGGATTAGATTCAGGGTTACCAGTTTCTTTGGTCTGCATGAGGTTCATTGCTGGACTGGTGTCCATCATAAGCAATGTTTGGTCCCCAGATGCTCTGCAAGAGAATCTAGGGTGGGTAAGGTACTTAGTATACTTAGGTTCTTGGTTTGGGATTTCTAAGTGCCCTGGGGTTGGTTCATTTTTATTCCCTGTGACCTGTGACTGAAAAATCAGCAGACTGAAAGACGGTCCCAGCAAGATTTGGAGGAAGAGGGTGGAGCTAAGGTTGTTAAAGATCTGGGGAGAAGAAAAATGTCTCAGATGGCATCATCATGACCACAGAAAGATCATGTATTGAGGGGTTATAACCAGAGACCTGGGAGGTACAGAATGTTGAATCCATGATTTCTTATGGGGTCAGAGTCCATGTGGATCAGGAAGTGAAACAGAGCACTGGGTACCCACCATACACTGTCATTTTGATGCCCTCTGCTAGTCACAGCTACTGGAAATGAGTGGAGAGAAGAAAGTGCCCATTTCTGGACAAGATACTGCAAATTACTGAGGATTAGGAAAGAGCTCATAATGCCCAGAAACATCCCGGGAGAGGAGATCATTCATTCTAAAGGGTGGAAGTAATAAAGTGGCTCTACAGATTTTACCAAGAACAAATTTATATTTTATCATGAACATTTGCCTATAGAATATACTAAATAAACATTTAACAAATGATTTAACAGACTTTTTTTTTTAAATTTCAACATTCCCATGGCAGAAAAAGAATATTAAAACAGCAAGCAATAGGCGCTAAGTAAATATTTTTGGCATATAAGTTGTTCTCTACCATAAAAACTTTATATTCATTTAACGTACTTAAAAATAAAAGCAAAAACACATTTAGACTGAGCAGCATTTAATAATCACAGAGTCTCTGGCCTCAAACAAGCCCAAATTCTAACCTTAACTCTGTTTCTTACTAGCTGTGTGATCTCTGCGCCATGGTGTTCTCTATAAGTGGGGATAATAGTAAGATTGCTACTACTATTAGCAAGATTTAGAAAGATTAAATGAGATAATGTAAAATTATGAACCCAAGTTCTGATATATACTACATATTAATAAACACTACAAGTCACGAAAACAATAAATGCAACAAAAAAACTCGTAGAATCGACAAAGGTTGCATTCAGAATCTCCAAAGTACTTCATTGAGCTTGCTGAGTCAGGAGCAGAAACGAGGCTCAACAGGCTCCACCTCTATGTTGATGAAACTACATTTCCCAGAAGGCTCCAGGCCCCAGTGTCTTGTTTTCTCCCATTTCCGTGTATGTCATGTGACTCTCCGGCTGCACCATGGCGGAAGCAGAGGAGCAGGTAAAAGCTGCTACTGCTTGGCAAAGGAAGGAAGGGGAGACAAGGTTAAATGGTCCCGGGCTTGAAGTGGAGAGTGAGGAGGTGCGGAGCTGCTGGAGGGCGAGTCAGGCCCACGGGCGGGGCGGCAAGAGTTGATTTCAAGAGCAGAGCGGCAGGGTGGGGTGCTGACTCCACTAGGGCACCCCAGAAAGCGCCGCGACACACCCCCGGCGTTTATGAAAATGGCCCTTCTTTTGACGTTGTTCCTGCCGCTGTGTTTAGGGAAATTTTGGCTTGAAGGCAGCCTGGGCTTCCCCGGAGACTGTCCGGATGGAGGCGTAAGAGATGACTTCAGTTTTGAGGCCAGGTGATTGAAAATTTGGTTCCTTTCCTCTCCAAATGGAACATTGAGAGCTTTGCGGGACGGCTGGGAGAGTAGTTGATGAGTTTTGCTTCATATCTATTACATTTACATACAAAGTTAAGTCACTGTTGCGTGCAGCAGTGGTTAAGTGCATCGGTTCTAGAGCAAAAATGTCTACAGTCCAGTGCTGGCTTTCTTTCTTAAAATATGACATTACGCTAATCGTTTAACTTTTAACTATTAAAAGGAATTAATAACAGCATCGTCCTCAGAGGGTGGTTTAATACAGAATGAGGTAGTACACAGAGTTGAAGTGCTTAAAAAGTTGAACTCAGTAAAAACTGAACTTGAAATTCTATGTTGCTAGCAGGACATCAGATGGCAATGTCCAGTCAACCCCTCACCATGTGATTCTGGAGTTAGTAATGACTATATGTATTTCCATTTAGGCAATAGTAGTATCCAGACCTTAGATGAAATGACAGATTTACACCAAGAAGCCAAAAAAAAAAAAAAAAAAAAAGAATGCAGACAAAACCCAAATCTTAGGGAAATCTCTTAGTTTTCCATGTTCAGTGTCATTTCACATGGCACTGGTGATTCCTTATAAATTAACAGGACGGTCTGTTCTCATAAATTACACCAAAGAGTGATTTTATGGTGAGCTGTTAAGTATCATAATACGAGATGTTTATTGAGATTAATAACAATTTAAGTTATACCACTTGCAACATCACTTAACGAAATTTTTCCTATGTGTGTTTATTATAATAATTAAGAAATTTGCTTTGGTAGAAGTTTGATTTGGATGGTCATTGTGGTAAGTGGAGAGTTTCCTACCTACCACTGGAGCTTCCATTTTTCTGGACTGTTCAGAGGAAAGTACCATTAAGTGAATATAATTTCATGACTTATTGCTGGGTGGTCTTTTATGTTCTTTTCATCTTTCATGGTGAAATATGATTTTTTGTCGTTTGATTTAAAGGCATAAAACCAAGGTGCATGCTTCAGCAGCACATATACTGAAAGCATAAAACTAAATTCCTCACCTTTTGAAGACAGTTGTTCTTAGTTCTTAACTACTGTTTTGTTGCAAAGACAGTGGCAAAGTCTTATGTAAAAAGACATATAGAAAGTTAGTGATATATTAGAATGCTTCATATTTTTATAAGTCGTTTTAAATCAAGGAACTTTTTTACATAGCATTTGGTCCTCTCAAAATAATTCTATCTGGTAAATGTTTACTTTTGATTTATAAGTCAGATCAAGCTCTACCTATGTTGCAAACCTTCCAGTGGTTCCCATTGCACCCTCAGGAAAAGGCAGAGTTCTTATAATGGCCTAATTTCCCTACAGAATCTGACCTCATTTTCTACTGCTCTTTCTTCTATTACTCTGCATCAGCTATACTAACTTTCTTACTGTTCCTTCAACAAGCCAAGCATATTTCTACCTTTGGGCCTTTACTCATACTGCTCCCTTTTCTGATTCCAGATATCTGTTGGGCTTTCTCTCTCACTTTCTTCACATTTTTGCCTGAGTGATACATTTTGAAGTAAGATTATCCCTGACTACTCTTTGAAACCTTCTTCTGAATTATTTTTTTCCTTAACACTCATCACTACCTGACATAGTGTGTTTTAAAATTTCTGGGTTTTTTTATTTTGTATACTTCTGCATGTTCTTCTGAATAAAATTCAAGTTCCATGATAGCAAGAATTTATTCACTGTTCTAAGTATAACACCTAGAATAGAGCGTGGCACTCCATGTGTTAAATGATTGAATTTTACAGGTAGGGAAGTTGGAATTCAGACAACTTAAGTAATGTGCTAAGGCTTGTAGCTCTAATAAATCTTCTGTCTCCAGAGCTCATAGTTTTTCACTAGAAGTCCCTTCCTTTAAAAAAACAAACAAACAAACAAACAAATACCTGGGAACCGAATTTCAAATCATACTTTTCTTTATGAAGTGGAACTAACCCATGTCACCTTAAGAGCAGGTCTTTCCTTTCTCCTCCTCGCCAGCCCCCGTTTTCCTTGTGGTATCAGTGTCATTCTCAAAAAAACCAGTAGTCTATTGTCAACAACAGAAACAAAAATTCACAAATTGTTGTTCTGTTTTGTTTTTTAAAAGAAAGTAGGCCTCCCTGGTGGTGCTGGGGTTAAAGGCTCAGCACTATCAAGCTATCGCCAGCATGAGTTCTATCCCTGGCCAGCCAGGGAGCTAACCCTGGGAGCACAGCAGACATCTCCTGTCTTGCCCGCTGCCCCCCTCAGCAATGTATTTCAGTAGATCTGCCTGTTCTGCTCCGCACTCTGTCTCTGGTGAATCTCTCACCCCCCGCACCTCTGGTCTGTACCCCAATTCTTGTGTGCATAAATAAATAAAAAATAAATCTTTTTTTAAAAAAGAAAGTTAGTGACTACCAATTTTATTGGTTCTTTATACATTAAAAATGGTTCCATTTTTCTCATGGCCTGACTTACACGTTTTGCATTTCGCATTAGGAAGTCATTAAAAGCTGACCAAGATAGATTTTGGAGGCTAAAAGTGCACCAGAGTGGAGTTAAATGATTTTCTGGTTGTTCTCTGTTACTTTGAACCTTTTAGAAAATCTTGACATAATTTCTCCCCCTGAAGGTTTTAGGAACTCAGATGCATATTCCCATGATAAGTTATAGGTTAGGTCAAGGGAAGTGTTCTTCCTTGGTATTATGTACTGTGAATGCAAACAGCTATCCATAATGAGCATGACAAAGCTAAACTCTTAACTTTTCTGAGCATTGTACTACTCTTTGGTGATTACTTTCTTTCCCCTTTTATTTTAGGATAAACCAAAATAGTAAGATCTGTGCTGAGTATGTTAACATAATATAAAACATTTCACTGACTTTCAAGCTAAAATCACTGTTTGGATAGGAGTGAACATTTTTGAAAAGTCATTGGGAAATCCTTGTTTATGCTAAGTATAGTAAATGTAGTTTGCAAAAATAACCACATATATAGTACACAGAAAGAATACTTGGTATTTTGCCTGGAATGTTCTAACCACCAATTTTATTTTTTATTTTTTTTTTTTTATTTTTTTTTTTTTTTTTTTTTTTTATTTTTTAATAGAGGCATGCTTTATTTATTTGTTTGCTGGTTTGTTTGTTTTGTTTATACATGCACTGGGCACAGTCAGAAGCACGGGAGGGTGAGAGAATTCACCAGAGCCAGAGCGGGGAGCAGAGCAGGCAGAAGGACCGAAGTACACTGCTGAGGGGAGCAGCGGGCGGCAGGAGAGGTCTGCGCGCCATGTGGGACCCTCCTCTGGTGGCCAGGGAGCAGCCGGGGATCGAACCGGCGCCGCAGAGGCCGCGGGCAGCTTCGCAACCCAGCGCTCAACCGCTGCGCCACCGGGGAGGCCCAATAACCACCAATTTTAACTAGCTCCAAAATCATTTATAGTTGACCTTCATAATCACAGATGCCCAAGAGTGTTTATACCTCTTTTAAGAATAACATTCTGCTTGTAGTCTCATTGTTTGTGTGTTTGTTATCTCTTCTAGAGATTGCTAAGCCCACAAGAATAAAGACAAGTACTTACTCATGTCTGTATCCTTCACAGGGCTGGAATTTTATAGGTATTAGGTGTTTAATAAAATGGTTAAATGAATTTATTAAGAGAATAATCTTCTGAATTGGAAGCATCAAATTTTAAGTTCGATTGAGTAGTTCATGTCCATGGATGCTAAGTAATAGTTGTCTGTGTTTCTTCTAGAAAATATGTCCTCCATGAAGGCATTATGAGAAAGCATTCATATGATTTTTGAGGGGAAAGAACCTTTTATGATAATACCAAAGACAGAAATCTCAGAGGAAAAGACTGACATATTCAACTATGTAAACATTTAAAATTTCTTTGTTAGAAAACAATACAAGGGTCTAATTTGTAATACAGAAAAATATTTGCAACATTTAAAATAGTTTAATACCCCTGATAAAGAGCCCTTAAAAATCAAGATTTGAAATGACCGACTTTCTCAAAAATAGATAATAAAAAAATGACAACATATACACATACAAGAAAAGATAAACAGATGTCATAGGGTAAGAAAGTGTTTAATTTCACTAGTCAATAAAGAAATGCAAGTGATATCATAGGAAGGTACAATAGAAGAAAAAGAAAGAAAATATGTCCTCCATTGTGTTTGTACCAAATGATTGTGGTTCTAGGCTCTTATTTAGACCTAGTGAATCAGATCTGTGAAGATGGAATGTGGTGGGTATCAGTCACTTCCCTAGGAGTTTCAGTGATTATGATGCAGTCAGTTTTGGGGGACTAGGTCACCGAGTGGGGGAGTTGTCCAGATACCTGTTGGACTTTCTCACTTTCTTCACATTTTTGCCTGAGTGTTATGTTTTGGAGTAAGATTATCCCTGACTACTCTTTGAAACCTTCTGAATTATTTTTCTCCTTAGCACTCATCACCACCTGACATACTGTGTTTTAAAATTTCTGGGTTTTTTACTTTGTATACTTCTGCATGTTCTTCTGAATAAAAATGCAAGCTCCGTGATAGCAAGAAAACCTTTTCTTCACTTGCAGAATAGGATGAATGCATAATTCAACCTAGTAGGTTGAACAGGGTTGTTAACCTGAGTCTCTCTAGG